TGTCATGAATTTGATTATGAAAATAGAATAATGTTGTATTTCATAAGATTTAGTTCAGAGCTGCAACGAAAAAGCTAGAAATCTGCTTATGCCCAGGTGCTAATTAGAGAGAAAATGTACAAGGTCAGTTCTTCTCCAGCTTAAGAAAAAAAAAGAGATAAGAAGAGCAAGCTGACCCATATCTTATCTCAACTCCATGAACAAGGACATAACTTCTTAATTTAAGGAAGATGGGTGAAAAGGACGGGGAAGAGATGGAGAGGGTCGACACCGAGCGAAATGCAGCCGACAGAACTTTAATCAAAAGGATTGCGTAAGAATGCTTATTTAAGTTAGACATTTTATTGTTTTCACTTTATAGAGGAAATAACTAGAGGCTAAGGCTGGGGGTTATTTTGGAAATACTAAATGATGTTAAACTGAGCTCGTTGAAATGTTATCTTTTGTAATAAAATATAAAAAGACAAATTGTCTGTAAGCTGTCTCCTTGTTTAGACCATGCTACAGTAGTAAATTGGATATTTTTGACTAAGATTGTTTTGATCTGGCCACATTACCATATTACCAAAAGAGGGTCCTAAAGTAAAAAAAGAGGAAGAGCAGACCTTCCAGATTGTTTATTTAAAATCGAGACAGACTTGGGTGAAGGAGTGTGAAGTCGCCTAGAGCAAAATTACAGGACCCGATTTTGCTGGCATTAGGGACTAATCATTCTGAATCCCTCTCTGTCTCGTGTAAAGGCAGTTCTAAGGAACGCTTTTACCACAATAGTTAAGGCTGAGCCCTTTTTTAAGTGCTCACTTTGCTTTCACCTTCCTGATTTTTAGGGACTCCTACTTATTCTTTGCATATATGGAAAATGATACTTAAGCTGAGAGTACAAATCCACATGGGATGGAGCTATAGTCTGCCCAGCACAGTCTGTGGTAAACTGTAGAATTTTTTTTACACTTGATGGGACCTGGCTGCAGCATTCCTTTCTGATTGTGGCTATGAAAATGTGGGGAAAAGATGGATCAGAAGAAGGAGAAGTAACCTTTTGAAAGTCATGCCCAAATCGTTCAGAATCATCAGGTTAAGTGTATTTCTAACCATTTAAGATCTAAGATTTTTATATCTTTCTTTAACACAATTCCAAACTCCTCTGGCTGGAACAGGAAAGAGAAACAATCTTGGTAATGTCCCACTCTTAAATGCTGGGAAAGGAGAGAGACTGTTCTATCATCAGAGGGATTAGTCCTCCTTTTATTTTGCCTCTTGTAGAAAGCTGAGCTAGGGCACAGAATGCTACACATTTCAAAATGGCATCTCATTCTTTTCTGAACATTTTGTGTGCTGATGGGCCATCACTGCATCTTCAGGGAAGAAGGTATGTTATGAGACATCTTTGTGGTGTGGAATTTACTGCCAGAGACACCAGAGATGAATGAAAAGAAGAAAACAGTGAACAAAGAAGGAAGATGTACAGTCACATGACTGTATCCTACTATAGTCCAAGACATTTTTAACCATCTTTCATTACATTAAAAGTATTTCAAGATTTTAAGAATTCATGAAGTCTTCTGAGGGGCTCATAGCTCATACTGTCTATTTAAAATGTCAATGGAAGTCTTATTATTTTTTTTAATAATGATTTATTCTAGAACAGCACTATACTTGACTTACTTTATACTAAGGCTCCCCTCAGACATGGAAGGCCAGTGGATGGAGGCTGCAGGTAAACATACAGCATCCAACTGATTGTTGCACAAGATACATACAGGATTTACAGTGACACAGAAGACTTAAGTATTTAGATCTAAATGCACAGAGATCAAAGGAGGGATAAGGAAAAGTGTGCATATGTAAGCCCTATTCCTGAATAGCCTCAAAGACTCAACAACACTTGAGATCTTTATAATGCCCTGTAATGGCGTTTGATTGAATGTGGTTAAAGTTCCTGTGATCAAGAACCTGATAACAAAGGAATTCTGATCACAGGAGCTCTGTAATCATAATGGAGCTTGCTATTTCATAGAGTTGTCAAGAGTTGGAAATGACCTGAAGGCACATTACTGTAGCAGATTCAAATGGAAAAGAGTGCTTGCATCTAGAATGGGTATAGCCAAATGACACATTTCAAAGTTAGATGTGTGAGAAGATTAAATAAAGTGGTCAATTGCATCATGTCAATACTTTTTAGAGAACCGAAAACAACAAGAATGATAAGTTACCCTGCACTGGTGAACTATATCCACTTGCCAAGCCAGAAATAGGGACATATCAATTGTATAGTTTTAGATCCCATAGGGCAAGGTACCACAATCCCACATGAGTCGTACACAGAGACTATTGCATTTGATTATTTGCAAGTATTAGTGACATTAAAAAGCAATACATCCAAACGTTTTAACCTCAAATAGTACCTTTTTGTGATGTAACTTGCTTTGTCCTTCTAAATGCACAGTATCTGGAGGCATTTTATTATTTTTCTCTTGTTTTTGGTCCTGCTGATCATTTTTGTCTGTCAAAGGTATACTCCGCGTTGTTTTATCCCCCAGGTCTTCAGAAGTCAGTATTTCAGAATCACTGAGAAGGGCATTATTTGAAAAGAAAAAAAGTTCTATGAATCTTGTATATAATGGTCTTCATAATATCCAAAGATCAGCCACACTGTGATTTACATACAATTAAAGTGTGTATTTGGTCCAGCTGCCAGAAAGCAATCATGCAATAACTTGAAATTTAAAAAGAAAAATAATATTTCAGAGTAATAACTAGGTTACTCCACTTCCTTTATTTCTTCCCTTTCAGATATTAACAGATGCAAGTGAATGAAGAAAGGAAATAATACATTTAAACTACTACTCTTACAGACCATGGACACTTCAAGTACATCTAAAGATCCAGATTGGACTGTTCTTCTGTTTCTCTTCAAGGGAAGTCAGGTATTAGGAAAATTCTGTAAAGGCACTAATGGTAGACAGGGATGCATATATTTCATATATTATATTTTCAATGATATAGATGAGACCTCCTCCAGTTGCTTTTAAAATTATACTATTTAGGGTAAGTTTGGGTGGCAAAAAGCAACTGTTCATAACTCTTCCCTTGCCTCACCCCTAGATTCTATCAGTTCTTTGGGTAGTAACTAAAGATATATCTTCTTTCAAGGAGCTTTTAAAAAAATCTTACTTTCTAACTCCTACAAACCTGACTTAGTAGGCAGCTATGACACTCTTCATTCTGGGTGCTATTTATCCTAGTTCTGACCTTGCCTGCATCAAGTAAGTTCTTTTTAGGCATTGGTTTAGCATATCTCATACCTGCATATCTGCTCTGTTACATTAGTCTGCACTGGAGACCAGGGAACTATAAAGTTTCTGTCAGTGGAAACAGCCTCATGGAAGAGACAAACATATTTATAAGGCTTGATCAAATTTATTTCCCCTGGTCAGGAAGCCTAACAGTGAGAGTAAGAGCAAATTTTGAATTCATGTACCTCCCTACTCATCGTAAGTATAAGAAATACACAAAGTCCTCCATTATGTGGAATTTGTTTAATCCTGTAAGATAACCTAATTCAAATATTACATTATAAAGGGATGTCTTAATACAGAAACTCAAGACTAAAAGTTATTAACAACTTTGCTTTCGGGAAAAGAAAAAACTATCAAAAAACTATCTGTTCTCGATCATCCCAGAGTGCAGGACACGCAACAATGGGCTCAAGTTACAGGAAGTCAGATTTCGATTGCATATAAGGAAAAACTTCCTAACTGTTAGAGCAGTAAGATAGTGGAACCAATTACCTCGAGAAGTGGTGAGTGCTCCAACCATGGAGGCATTCAAGAGAAATTTGGACAACCACCTGGCAGATATCCTTTGATTTCTATTCCTGAATTGAGCAGGGGATTGGACTTGATGGCCTTGTAGGCCCCTTCCAACTTCACTATTCTATGATTCCAACTATCCACTTGTTTCAAAGTGATCAAACTTATTTCTTTGGACAGGAAGCCAAACAGTGTGAGTAAGAACAAACTGTAGGCTTAACACTTCCAATACTGAGAATGGACAAAAAGTATGGGAAAGACCTATATTAATAGATCAAAACTCATATAAAATTGTGTTCTGTTTTGTACTGAAACTGGTATAAAGATTATAAATAAGAGATGCTATTTAAACATTAACATGTATTTTTAAATAAAATAGTTTTAGGGCATCTTGAGAGCAAGTACTGCCAGCGAGTACTGGCTGCTGAGTTGCCCTTAGCTTTATATCATAACATATGATATCATACCTGAAGTATATAGTTACCAAGTCTGCAATTTACAAAAGATTACAAAGGCTGACCATGAACACTCTCACCTCTTACAGTTTGTACAACATGAGAAGTTAATTTGTTTCAAATCCAGCTAAAGGATGATAATATAGGCTTTGTGTTTCAACTAAAATGGCTAATGTTATCACTGACTAAAGATCTAATATCACTCACATATTTTCTCATCCTTGATGAAAAATGGGACTTTAACACTTTGAAATACCTCATCAAAAATAGTCAGATTATTTGTTCCCTGTATTAGATTATTTTTACTCCTATGTGAGAGCAAAAAGACCAGTAAGTTATCTTTTCTTTGCAACATTTGCAAAAATCCTAGTGTTTAAAAATAAAGAACGGGAACTTTATACAAGTGTTTCTGCACAAAATACTATAATTTTTAACACAAAAAGCATTTCTGGGCATTTTTCACAAAAAAGTTCCAAAATGAAAAAATACACAAAAAGACTGTTGCAATCTTGCCCACCGGGGAGAAAATTCAGAAAAAAATTGAACAGCTGCATCAGTTGATACAGAGCAGCAGTCTGCAGCATTCAGCCTCCACGGTTGTTGAACTCACCAAAGTTCTTGGAACAAAAGTTCCATCAGCTCTATCCAGAATAAGCAATAGTGGGGAATGCTGAAAGTTGCAGTCCAATAACTTCTAGAGGGCTATGCTCAGCATAAAGCAATTCCTGTGGTCAGTATCCTACCGCTAATCCCAACTACCATAGATCCACTGATTCAATAGGATTTACCTAAATACTGAATTACCATTCAGGAACTGATTGAATGAATCTGTTCTCTAACTGAGACTAACTGGAGGCTGGCCTAGGTCTATAACAATTACAACACTGCTGACTTTCAACCTCAATGTTGTTGGTGGGTCATAAATATGTGATCAAATAGTAGCAGTGGCAAGACCTTTATAAAATCAGTGTTACAAGTGTAACCAATATTATTTCTAACTTACGTTACAGTACTGCTACCACTTTTAAGAAGAGAAGAGGTAAAATCTAATGATTTCAAGGACGTATGGAATGTGTTTTCGAAGGGGAAAGGCTATATGCCAGCAGAAGGATTAATGTATTTTTGGAGAGGTATGAAGTGAAAAGGGATATAAATTGATATTACTGGTCACCTAATCCCCATCGACCATGTTGTCCTTCTGGATAGGCTGGCTGGGTTTGGAATTGGGGGCACCGCTTTACGGTGGTTCTCCTCCTTCTTGACTGACTGTGTCCAGAAGGGGATGCTGGGGGACAGTTGCTCTGTCCCATGGCGTTTATGTCATGGGGTTCCTCAGGGCTCGATGCTGTCTCCCACGTTGTTTAATATCTACATGGAACCACTGCGAGAGGTTATCAGGAGATTTGGGCTGAGGAGTCAGCAATATGCTAACGACACCCAGCTCAACCTCTCATTTTATACCAATCCCGGGGAGGCGGTTTCTGTGCTGAACTTGTGTCTGGAGCCGATAATAGACTGGATGAGGGTCAATAAATTGAAATTCAATCCAAACAAAACAGAACTGCTGTTAGTGGGGGCTTCACTGGACAGGCTGACGGGCCATTTCCCTGCCCTGAATGGGGCTGCACTCCCCCTAAGGGACAGGATCCACAGCATGGGGGTGCTCCTGGAACCTGACATAACTCTGGAAGCACAGGAGGACTTGGTGGCCAGGTGTGCCTACCTTCAGCTGCAAAAATTATACCAGCTATGGTCCTACCTGGATGAGCAGAGTCTCATGACAGTTACATGAGACTCTGCTCATCCAGAGCAGAGTCATTCATTACTGCTGACTTTCAACCTCAATGTTGTTGGTGGGTCATAAATATGTGATCAAATAGTAGCAGTGGCAAGACCTTTATAAAATCAGTGTTACAAGTGTAACCAATATTATTTCTAACTTACGTTACAGTACTGCTACCACTTTTAAGAAGAGAAGAGGTAAAATCTAATGATTTCAAGGACGTATGGAATGTGTTTTCGAAGGGGAAAGGCTATATGCCAGCAGAAGGATTAATGTATTTTTGGAGAGGTATGAAGTGAAAAGGGATATAAATTGATATTACTGGTCACCTAATCCCCATCGACCATGTTGTCCTTCTGGATAGGCTGGCTGGGTTTGGAATTGGGGGCACCGCTTTACGGTGGTTCTCCTCCTTCTTGACTGACTGTGTCCAGAAGGGGATGCTGGGGGACAGTTGCTCTGTCCCATGGCGTTTATGTCATGGGGTTCCTCAGGGCTCGATGCTGTCTCCCACGTTGTTTAATATCTACATGGAACCACTGCGAGAGGTTATCAGGAGATTTGGGCTGAGGAGTCAGCAATATGCTAACGACACCCAGCTCAACCTCTCATTTTATACCAATCCCGGGGAGGCGGTTTCTGTGCTGAACTTGTGTCTGGAGCCGATAATAGACTGGATGAGGGTCAATAAATTGAAATTCAATCCAAACAAAACAGAACTGCTGTTAGTGGGGGCTTCACTGGACAGGCTGACGGGCCATTTCCCTGCCCTGAATGGGGCTGCACTCCCCCTAAGGGACAGGATCCACAGCATGGGGGTGCTCCTGGAACCTGACATAACTCTGGAAGCACAGGAGGACTTGGTGGCCAGGTGTGCCTACCTTCAGCTGCAAAAATTATACCAGCTATGGTCCTACCTGGATGAGCAGAGTCTCATGACAGTTACATGAGACTCTGCTCATCCAGAGCAGAGTCATTCATTACATGGAATGTAAGATCTATGAATCTTGGTAAGCTGGATGTGGTCAAACAGGAGATGGCAAGAATAAACAGTGACATCCTGGGCACCAGTGAACTAAAATGGATGGGAATGGGTGAATTCAATTCAGACGATTATCATATCTACTATTGTCGGCAAGAATCCCATAGAAGAAATGGAGTAGCCCTCATAGTCAACAAAAGAGAGGGAAAAGCTGTACTGGGATATAATCTCAAAAATGACAGAATGATTTCAATACGAATCCAAGGCAGACCTTTCAACATCATAGTAATCCAAGTTTATGCACCAACCACTGGTGCTAAAGAGGCTGAAATTGACCAATACTATGAAGATTTACAATACTTTCTAGAACTGACACCAAATAAAGATATTCTTCTCATTCTAGGCGATTGGAATGCTACTGAGAACTCCCAGAAGTACAAGCTGGATTCCGAAGGGGCAGAGGAACTAGAGACCAAGTTGCTAACATGCACTGGCTTATGGAGAAAGCCAGAGAGTTCCAGAAAAACATCTACTTCTGTTTCATTGACTATGCAAAAGCCTTTGACTGTGTGGACCACAACAAACTATGGCAAGTTCTTAAAGAAATGGAAGTGCCTGACCACCTTACCTATCTCCTGAGAAATCTATGCGTGGGACAGGAAGCAACAGTTAGAACTGGATATGGAACAACTGATTGGTTCAAAACTGGGAAAGGAGTACGACAAGGCTGTATATTGTCTCCCTGCTTATTTAACTTATATGCAGAATACATCATGCAAAAGGCATGGCTGGATGAATCCCAAACCGGAATCAAGATTGCCGGAAGAAATATTAACAATCTCATATATACAGATTATACCACTCTGATTGCAGAAAGTAAGGAGGAATTAAAGAATCTCTTAATGAGGGTGAAAGAGGCGAGCGCAAAAAATGGTCTGAAGCTCAACATCAAAAAAACCAAGATCATGGCCACTGGTCCCATCACCTCCTAGCAAATAGAAGGGGAAGATATGGAGGCAGTGACAGATTTTACCTTCTTGGACTCCACGATCACTGCAGATGGTGACAGCAGCCAAAAAATTAAAAAATGACTGCTTCTTGGGAGGAAAGCGATGGCAAACCTAGACAACATCTTAAAAAGCAGAGACATCCCCGTGCCGAGAAAGATCTGCATAATCAAAACTATGGTTTTTCCAGTAGCGATGTATGGAAGTGAGAGCTGGACCATAAAGAAGGCTGACTGCTGAAAAATGGATGCTTTTGAATTGTGGTGCTGGAGGAGACTCTTGAGAGTCCCCTGCAAAGAGAACAAACCTATCCATTTTGAAGGAAATAAACCCCGAGTGCTCAATGGAAGGACAGATGCTGAAGCTGAGGCTCCAATACTTCGGCCATCTCGTGAGAAGACCCTGGAAAAAACTCTGATGATGGGAGAGTGTGAAGGCAAGAGGAGAAGGGGACAACAGGGGACAAGATGGTTGGACAGTGTTACCGAAGCTACCAACATGAATTTGACCCGACTCCAGGAGGCAGTGGAAGACAGGAGGGCCTGGCGTGCTCTGGTCCATGGGGTCACGAAGAGTCGGACATGACTTCACAACTAAATGACAACAAAACCAGTTGCTGCCCAGGCCCAATTCAAAGTGCTTGTTTTGACATATAAAGCCCTAAACAGCTTGGGACCTGGAGACCTGAAGGACCACCTCCTTCCATATGAACCTACCCAGTAATTATGATCTAGCCAGGGAACCCTCCTGAAAGAGCCATTCCTCAAAGAGGTAAGAGGGATGGCTTCTAGACAAAGGGCTTTTTGACAGCTGCCCCCAGACTATGGAATGCCCTCCTAAGGAAGCTTCATCTGGTGCCGACGTCGATGACATCTTGGCACCAGGTCAAAACCTTCCTGTTCCACAAGGTTTTTAATTGAAATAATATCAAGTGTGGGTCCTGATGGCAATTTTTAGAGCATTGAATTTTTATTTGTATTTTAATTTTTAATATTTTTATTGTATTCAAATTGTTGTAAGCCCGCCATTTATTTATTTAGTTTATATGCCACCCCCACTACCCAAAGCCGCTCTTTGCGTAGTGTGGGCAGCACATAAGCTAGCTAGCTAGCTAGCTAGCTAGCTAAATAAATAAATAAATAAATAAATAAATAAATAAATGTGGCACAGTTGGGGAAAGTTCAATGTGTATTGTGTTTAGTCAATATTGAATTTATATTTTAGTTTTAATTTTGTTATTTGTAATTTTTCTTTTATAAATTATTAAAAAATAAATACATTTTTTAAAAGTACTGCTGCCACTTTTTATTAGAGTGGTTATTTGATAGAATCTGAAGCTGACCACTATAATTATGTTGTAGAATAAATCTGAAAGCTACAGAATGAACACAAAGAAAAGTAACTGCATTCAAGGAAGGCTGGAAGAACCCTAATATTTCAAAAAATATGAAGCTAAAGGGAAACCAGTAGGGCAGAATCCAGCTGTCAACCCTGTAAAGGAGATTTGAGGAGGGCTCAAGAGATTAGAGGGAGGAGGTGGGGACAGTCAAAAGCAATCCTTCCTGCTGGAGGACACTCACTAAGTCATGCACCAGGAGATGGAAACTGGCTGGATCCTATTCTGCATGAAGAACTTTACAGATAAAACAACAAACCACATTACCAGAAAACAGGTTTCTAAAAACATTTTTAAAGCTGGTAATTTAGACTTTATCTCATCCAAGTCGAGTGGAATCAGATCCAAAATGAATTAATTTGTCTGAATACCATGAGCACTATCCAATTTGACTTCATGTATTTTTAGATTGCTGCCAGTACTTATCTTAAATAATGCAAAACAGTCCTACAAATTGGTTCAATTTTACAACATTGGTAAGTTTTATTTTTTCACACATGAGTTTTACTCTCTCAAGAAACTTGGGAATTCTCCTGGCACTGTGCACAGTGCCCTAAAGCTCAGTGGACCAACTCTAAAAGCTGATCATTTTTGTTCTGATATATGGATTATATATATAATGAAACCAGGTGGGAAAGCGAGGAATTTTACTTCAACTGGCCTCTTGCATTTTGTGGAAACATCCTAATGTGGCATCCTTTCTGGTCTGACAGTGGTGTTTGCTGATGACTTTGCATCTATACACTTATATACAGTAGTTAATAGTATTTACCTTTAAATAACTAATTTTCAGCTGTCATTCAATTAAGTTAGTACAATGGCTGCACAACATGAAATATATGCGATAATTAGTGAGGATGGTCCTTAATTTAAAGGATGTTAAACAGCTTGTAGATATCTGGTTGCAAGCTGAAAGGGGTCATTCAAAATTTATCTAACTAAATTAAGGGGGGAAATGTTTCTCCTCCAGGGTTGGCATGTCACAAGATAACTAAATGGACTTTGCAGGCTTGCCTGGGAATCCTTAGCTGTCAGTGGTGAATATGCAAAGGGCCAGCAAATTAAATCAACCTGCCAAACTGTCAATTTCAAGCCTAATGACTGCATGAAAATAGCATCACTGGAAGAAATCAAGCATTGCTTCTTTTGGGTTTCCTGGCACCTATTCAAATACTCATGCAGTTGTGGCTAATTTTGCATGCAAATTTCAGTCAATAAACTCAGAACAAGACCTCCCAAGATATTTCAAAGGCTCTGACAGTATTTTTTCTGAATACCAAATCGACAGTAGTTGAAATTCAATCTCTATTTGCTAGTGCTTTACATATGCACAGTGTCCCCTCTACACAGCTAAGTTAATGAGAGCCATACCTGCTTTCAGTCATATCTTCCCAGCCATCCTTACTGAAGTTCTCAAATACACTGCTTGTAACCTTGATGGACTGATTGAGAAGAGACTGGTGATGTTGCACTAAACTCTTTTTCTTTCCTGTTTTCAACTTAACTTTGGCAGTGGCACTCTTACATCTCCATTGCCCATGGGCTGCTTCACCTGTGGCTGCAGAGCCCACTCTCTTTGCTCTGTCCAGGGAGCTCTGCAATTGTTTCACTTTACTCTGCAGATCTTCATTTTCATTTCTCAATGAGTCTGCTTCTGCTACTTGCCTCTTCAGAGAGGTGACCTCTCTCTCCAGCCCATCTATCATTAAGTGAAGCTCTGCTTTGTCCTTCCCTAGTTCTGTGATTTTTTCCAGCAGTGTCTCCAGCTCCTTCTCTTTGGCCTCTGTTTCCTCTTGGTGCTGTTTAAGCAATGCTTTCAGATCACTTTTATCCTTAATTAATACTTTATTAACTTCTTTCATTGTTCTGGATTCTTTCTCAAAACTCTTTATCCTTCTTTCCAGTTGCAACACCTAATAAGTCAAAAATACATTTCACCTTTAACCTTTTACATTTTAGTCATTCTGTCCATTATGTCGTAATGTCTTATATCAAAATAAAATTACATTCAATACAAGGACAAAATCTATTTAAAGTACTTAATTGAAAAATAATTCCAAGGTAGGGTAGATGAATACATTTGGACTGCAATAATGCATCTGTTACAGAAAGGGCAGATGGTACAAGAAGTTAAAATCCTTGACAAAGTGACACAGAAGTCTAAGTGGTAAGACATTAAGCAATACATTTCAAACATTCATTTAGGATTACAACTTATCAATATAAGTCAGAAACAAAATAAAATAAAAAATACAAAAACATTGTGGCACCTTAAAAAATTAACTGCTATATTTTAATGTGAGCTTTCGTGGATTTCCTCAGACCAAGTCTTCATTTTTTTTGCCTGATATGCTAGCACAGACTAACACAGGTATCTCCTCTATAACTAAATTTATGAATAGTTATAATTTTCGTGATTTTTCAGTATATCTGTAAAAGCTGATGGATTTTTGAATTTAGTTTAAAAAATTCTGTTCCAGTGAAAAGATGCTCTCCCAAACAGGCCCAGTACAAAGAAAATTAAAATCAGTTGACAAAATAGTCCAATTCTGTTGAAACCACACTAGAATTCATATCCCACACATTACACCACTATTACTGTCATTTCAGCACATTACTTAAGTTCAGAATAGTGTTCAAATGTGGAACATTGCTGGCCTTACTGCAGTTCCTTTTTGAGTTGAAAAAAAGATCAGTTTTGACTGTGAGAAAGAATCTACATCTTATCAGTAGAGCTTAGAAAGTATAGTGCTTGTATGTTCAAGGCAGTTCCTCTCAACACACTTTATGCTTCAGAAATTATTAATTATTAATATTTAAATAAAGGCAGTGAAAGATGTATGGTATAAACTTTTCTATTATATCTCTTAAGAAATCTGATCATTATGTTGTTAATGTAAAGAAAAAATACAAACAATGTACTGTATTAAATTTTTACAGTGGATATTACAAGTCTGGTTTTGATGAAGATCCGACTTTGAAAAGCATTTGTCATAGTAAGTCAAAGATGTTATGTATGTCAGCACTTGCAGTTTGAAAGAAGAGGCACCATACCTAATGTCAGTTATTATATTATGGGATTGCTACTGTTCTTAGCCATAGTTACTTCCCACCATAACCTAGCCATCTACATTTATGGAGGACATCGAGCAAGTCATTGCTTTGCTCTCAACCTGGGCAGTCCATATTATTTTGGTTATGATTCCATGCTCCAGTGCTGGGAGTTTTCTATCAGTTATTTATGCCAAATTATCCTGCATCACAAACTACTCCTAGGCAAGATGCTTGATGACTTTTAAAGTTGTAAAATAGATTTTTCTTTATTTAGTGGAGGACTAAATCATTTACAGTAGCTGAAAGACACCAATGAGTGTCTTCCATGTTTGTACCCTATGCTCTCATGTCAACACTTTATATCCTTGGAGATAGAAATTAGAGGGTTCCTGGCAAACAAAATTACTCTGAAAACACAGATGATAGCTGTGACATCTTCTACTGTATTCCTCAAATTATTTCAGTTACACACTTTACCTTAAGATAAATGAATGTGAGCATTTTCTGTTCTATGTTATTACTTCAACATGGTATTTGTCATTCAGTAATAACGAGATGACAGCCTTCATTACCTGACCATATGGCAAGTTTTAGAAGTATACGCGATCACATCATCTGCTATGAATTACTGTACTTCCTACAAGCTAATTCATAAACGTAAGATAAATGGACACAATTCTACTGATACTAAGTCACACAAGATCCTGCCTATTCAATATAAGCAGACTTCTGAAACGTCTGCTTATGTTGCTCAAGAAATAGTCAGATAGCAAAGCAGAAAGATTCTTTGAAGGATGTTTTCTGGAACAAACAAAGCATATGGTATAACAGAGTCTCTTAAGTGAACAGCTGTTAACAGGCAGAATTATCTGAACAAACAAATACCACTTCTAGAAATGTAAAAAGAAAAGCAAAGAATCCATCCCTGCCCTGTTTTTTGGTGAACATTCCCATCCCTAGGACCAAATTTCAGCCACCCAAGAGCATTTCTGCTGAAAATAGTAATTCAAAATTGTGATTTTTCTGCTTCTGGAGGCCTTCTCAGCAGTGCTTTCCATTTCTGTAGCCTAGGATTCCCTAAGCCCCAACCCCAAAACAAGAAGTGTTTATTGGTTCATTTTAAAAAATAGCTCTGAACTGCCATGTTTGGAGTTCATGAAGCCTGTGGAGGTAACTGGGGGAAGAAAACTTTGCTTAGCCCAATTAAGAAGAAGAAGAAGAAGACAACGACAACGACGACAACAGCTATTCTGCAGTGTTTTCCACTCTTGAAAGTTGATACACACTTCATATAAGAAACATTTCTATTTAGAGCAGGGATAGGCAAGATGTGTTGATCCAGATGTTGTTGGGCTTTAACTTGTTTCAGTCTCAGGCAAGGTACAGTCATGGCCGAAAATAATGGCACCCTTGCAATTCTGTCAGAAAATGCAACCTTTCTCTCAGAAAATTGGTGCAGTTGCAAATGTTTTTTTATACTCACGTGTTCATTTCTTTGGTTTGCATTGAAAGAACACACACACAAACAGAGAAGAAAAGTCAAATCTGATACAATTTCACACAGAAACCCAAAAATGCACTGGCCAACATTATTGGCACCCTTAACTTAATATTTGGTAGCACCACCTTTGGAAAAAATAACTGAAATCAATCACTTCCTGTAACCATGAATGAGTTTCTTACACCTCTCTACTGGAATGTTGAACCACTCTTCTTTTGCAAACTGCTCCAGGGCAGATTTGAAGGATGCCTTCTCCCAACTGCTGTTTTGAGATCTCTTCACAGGTGTTCTATGGGATTTGAATCTGAATTCATTGCTGGCCATTTCAGAACTCTCCAGCACTTTGTTTGTAATCATTTGTGAGTGTTTTTTGAAGTCTGTTTTGGGTCACTGTCCTGCTGGAAGACCCATGACCCCTGGTGAAGACACACCTTTCTGACACTGGCCACTGCACTGTGCCCCAAAATTCTTTGGTAATCATCGGATTTCATGATACCGTTCACACAGTCAAGGCATCCAGTGCCAGAAGCAGCAAAGCAACCCCAAAACATCTTTAAACCTCCACCATGTTTGACTGTCGGGACTGTGTTCTTTTCTTTGAATGCCTCATTTCTTTTTCTGTAAACAATCCCATGATGTCCTTGACCAAAAAGGTCTACTTTTATCTCATCTGTCCACAGTACGTTCTCCTAGAAGGATTGTGGTTTTGTCACATACGTTTTGGCATACTTCAGTCTTGCTTTTTTATGCCTTTGTGTCAGCAGTGGTGTCATCTTGGGTCTCCTACCCTTTTCATTTAGGATAGTGCGAGCTGACACTGTTGTATCCTGTGTCTGCAGATTAGCTTGAATTTCTTTGGAAGTTAATCTAGTTTCTGTATCCACCATTCAAACAACCCTTCCTTGTAATTTTTCAGTAATTTTGCTCTTCTGTCCATATCCAGGCAGATTAGCTACAGTGCCATGGACTGTAAACCTCTTGATGATATTGCGCCCAGTGGACAAAGGGAAATTAAGATCTCTGGAGATGGACTTGTAGCCTTGAGATTGTCAATGTTTTTCCACAATTTTTTTCTCTGCAATCCACAACGACTCTTTACGCTTCATTCTTTTCTCCATGCTGTGTTACATACAACACAAGGGTTGAGTCAACTTTTATCCATCTTAACTGATTGCAAGTGTGATTATTCTATTGCCCACACCTCTTACTTGCGACTAGTGTGTCTAAATACAAATTGAAGGAGCATCACATGCTTGAAAAGCAATTATTTCTTACAATTTAGACAGGGTGCCAATAATTTTGGCCAGTGCATTTTTGGATTTCTGTGTGGAATTGTATCAGATTGGACTTTTCTTCTCTGTTTTGTTTTTTTTTTGTATTGCTCCAACACAAACTAAAGAAATGAACATGTGAGTATCAAAACATTTGCAACTGCACCAACTTTCTGAGAGAAGGGTTGCATTTTCTGACAGACTTGCAAAGGTGCCAATATTTTTGGCCATGACTGTATGTTGGGAATTCCTATACAGTCACAGTATCTTAGCATGATTGTTGTGAGGTTAAAGTTGGGAGAAGAGTATCTTGAGCTTCTTGCAGAAAAGGAAGAACATAAATGTAACAAATACTGAACAGACAGAAAAATCAACAGACAGATGAAACTTAGAATGACCCATTTTTTGGGAAGGCTTAACCATTTTTGTCTTCTCGAGATCCGATGGTTGTTGTAGGTTTTTCAGGCTGTTTCGATGTGTTCTGGAGGTTTTTCTTCCTAATGTTTTGCCAGTCTCTGTTGCCAGCATCTTCAGAGGACAGGACCTAGAACTCCGTGTTCTGGTGTAGTGTGTGGGATTGTTGAGTATTTGTAGCTCTGGGATCAGTTTTTTGTTATTTTCAGGAGACTGGGTGTTTCCTGTGATCAGGGTGTTTATTTGTTATGGATGTTTTGTTGTGGTAAGGAGGGAGATGATCTGTCACTGTGACTGATGGGTGTTGTTAGCTAGTCTTTTGTGTGCAGTGATCATCAGTCCTTGTGGCTGGGTAGTTTTGCTCAGGAAAGTCATTTTTAGACTTTCTTCTTTTTTGTTGAAGCTGTGCTGGTGTTTGTGGATTTCAATGGCTTCCCTGTGTAGTCTAACACCTGGAAAAATCGGCATTAGCTGAACATGTCCTGAAAGAAGCTGGACATGAAATCCTATTTCGAAAACAGAAGTACTGGACAAGACCAGCAATCATTATGTTAGACTACACAGGGAAGCCACTGAAATCAACAAACGCCAGCGCAGTGTTTAACCATCTTAACCATTTTTCTCCAAGTGTCAGTGTTCTATTCTGGTGGCGCATTGGTCCCTTTAAAGTTTTTAATTATTTCATTCATATACTTTTCACTGCAGTAGCAATTCTCTTACCACATACTCTTGTAGAGGTTTGTGAATGAACCAGTGGCATTTTTTTTAAAAGATCAAACCAGTGACACCTCAAAATATACATTGCGCTATTTGGTACTGCAAAGTTATTTGTTCACACACAACAGAAGCACATTCCAATTAGTTTTGCTCAGGAAAAAAAATGCCACCAGGGCTGTATATATACTGTTGTGCAGTATAAAACAACAATGAAACCACAGAAAAATTACTGAAGTCCATAAAAGCAAATATATGCTTCTATTTATATCACAAACATTTTTAGATTGCTCTGCCTTGCTTTGTCTCTTTAAATACTTATATATTGATTTCTGACCCAATTTTGGCAGTTAGGGTTATTTTGAATTATAGAAGATAATTGAAAAGATAAGAACACATGGCTTACATTCATCAGTTCTGTCTTTTAACATATGATCCCTTACACTGAAATTGAGATTTAACTTGCTGGGCTAAATATCTTACACCTTAGGGTACCTTTTGTAATGTCTGAGCTGACGTTTCTTTCACATTCTTCTTGGGAGTACTGCTCTTGACTCCATTCTCTTCACCAAGGCCAAAGAGAAGCTCTGGAAGAGGCAACAAATAATATATTGTGACCAAGTTCCCTCTACGTCAGGTGCGCACTAATGTGTGCACGTCTCTGCCTTCCTGCAGACAGCTCTTTTCCTCTTTCATGCAGAGATCATATTAGGTTTCGGTCACGACAGAACCCTGCACATGGGTGGAGTTGCATGTGCACACAGGAGCAAAATTATGTGTGAGAGAGGCAGAGCCCCGCCCAGCGGTGCTAAAAATTAGAAGGTTGACAGTGACAGTAAAACAGTATTAAAGCATTTTACAGAAATTGGTTCATTAGGAAAGTTACAAATAACTTGGTCTACTTTGTTGTCAAGCTGTTTGGTCAGTCTCAGATGGGCAACCTCTTTTCAAACTCTTATGTGACACAATTACTATTACATGTATCATCACCATGTTTTTTCCCCAGTACAAGCTTTTCAAAGGTACAATAGATCTTCAGGTTAAAGATGCAGTACTTTTATTCCCATCTTCGTTCTTTTATGCACTATTCCCTCTGTGCCTCAAAAAGCAAATTCACTTTCTTTTTATCTACACAGTCACTAGCAGTTTTGTTCTCTGGGTCTTATCCCCTGCCAGGAGGATCAGAGTGATCGGTGAACAAAGCAAACAGAAACAGAATTAGGGTGGACAGAACTTTAAACTCTCTTTTTTGCAAGGTGAAAGATCAGGTACTTTACAGAATAAATCACACGTCATTCCACTGAAATGTTCAAGATTCATAGCAATTAGAAACTCCAGCAACCAACAATAGCCCATGATTCCACATACCAGTGTGAAGAACATTTCTCCACCAATGGCTCCTGCTCCTTCCTCTCTCCGCTAGTGTAGTACCTCAAAATTGTTTTTTTTTACAATGTGCTATCTAGTTTGCAAAAAACACAACAATATAGGCTCTATGTGTTATCTGCAGAGAGGTAGCCTCTTAAAACTATAGCCATTGTCTTACTTTTATGGAAGAGCAGCAATATTTTCCAGCACCTTTTATGTGGTTTGTGAGCATGGGCCGGCAATAGCCAGGACCACATGGGGAATCACACACAGGTGTAGTTTGCCATAAGGTTAGTCACTTACTGAGTGCAACAGTAAATCACATCTTGCACATCTCAGTGTGCAATCTCAGATATGAGTTGGAACTGTTATCAATCCTTGCATCCTATGAAATATAACACTGAAATGCTTTTCCACGTTCACACATTTATCTACCATTCTTCAAGCATGTGTCAACCACATGCTTCAAGGAATCTAGTGTTTATGTGTACTCACAGACACAATCACACACATGTGTGTGACCAGGTTATACCTATACTACAACTGTAAAATGAATTTTAAAATGTTAGATGAAAGAAATGCACGGCAGCAAGAAAGCTCAAATGTAAACAATGTTTTTTTAAATTTAAACAAGTCATTCCTCCTTAGAGTAGGATAAAAGTTTGCTTTGGAAGCATCACTGAAAACCACACGTGGACCACGGCAGGTCAGTAAAGAACTTTCTGTTCACACACAAAACAGCAGTAGAAGAAAAGTGTGCTATTCTCTGAAGGTTAGCAATCCTCTTGGCATAAAACAGTGACTAACCATGTTTGTTAGAGTGAATTAGACCTTTCTTTTGTCTTTGGAAGATGTCATGGCCAATTAAAACTTCTGTATTCATGAAATAAATGGAGCACTACTCTAAAGATAATAGAAACTGAAAAAAGTAAAATTGTGCAGCGGGGGAATATGTACCTTTACCTAGATATTAATCTATTACTCCCATGTTAGTTCCAAGCATAGTCCCTTGGCACAGTGGTACTGCATATATTTTCTACTTCCTTTAAGTAACATGCAGTGGTAATACATAGATGCTTTTCATCTTTTTGTAAATATTCACTCATTTGAATGTCAATTGTAGTTTTTACATCAACATTTACTTTTGAGGTTTTTTTGTTCAGTTGTTAATAATAAACTGATCAAAGCACTCAGTGTTAATCTTATAACATGATTAGATGTAAGAATTACAACTACCCTATCTATGGCAATGCACATCTAAAACATTGAACTCAATCAAAGATGGTTTAAATATTTCCCTGAGATTCAAAATATCAGTAAGTTAGAATGCAACACATGAGAGAACCACATCTCTGAAAACATTCATTCCTACCAAACAAACCTAGTTGTTCTAAATGTTGTAGATTGTGCAGATACTGACACAACAATTAATAGATGTCTCCAATAATTTTAAATTATAAAGCAAATAAGTATTTGTAGAGTTCACTGTCCCCTTAGAGGAGTGCCCTTACTCCAGCTAGTCCAGCAATGATAATGAGGATACCCTTCTTTTTCCCACATTTTTCTTCCCCTGACAGACTGCAGTGCTAGAGGGATTAGGTATGAGACTGTCAGTCTGAAACTTGCTGTGTTGGTAAGGAAGAGGTTCTTCTTCTCTACTTCTGAAATACAGTTGTTTAATGCAGGAAGATCAGTTGTTATCATTTAAATCTCCATAAAATGCATGTGGGTAACCAAGGTTCCCTTGAAGCCACCCACATCCGACTCCGTATCCCTCTGCAGGGTTTTCTTCCTCATCCACAAAGCAATGATGTTCAACCCATTTGGTTCTGGGTTGTGACAGAATCCTGCGTGGGGGGGGCAGAGTTGTGCATGCACATGGGAGGGGGAGAGAGAGGGCAGAGCCCCACCCAGTGGGGCTGAAAATTAGAGGGTATGGTTGTCTGCAACTATAACCTTCCCTACTTGCAGGAACCTTTTATAAGCTGATGGGGGATAGAGTGGACCAATCCCTCTTTTCTCATGCACCATCGGTGGTACAACGTGCAGCTCCCCCTACCCCAATATTTTGTATGCCTGGAAAGTTCACAGCTATGTGTTCAGCCATTTTAGTTTGGGGTTGTTGCCTTTTATCTTTTTTTATCAACAAACACCTATACTTCCACGTATTTAAACATTCCATAACAATGTAGAAACACTATCTTGTTCCTGTGTGGCCTTGTTTTGCTCCCAAGCTGATCAGTTTAATCCATGATTACCCAGAATTCCATCCATTACTGAATGTGGGATTGTGGGAATTTTACTTTAACACATTTGGAAGACATCAAAATAGGGGAGTCTGCACTAACCACATTCTTCTGTCCAGTAACATGAAGACCCTGTCTGTGTTCTTGAGATCTAACAGTGATGGTTTTCAGCCCCTTTAGTTCAGGTCATGATGGAATCTCGCACGGGGTGTGTATGTGGGGAACTGAAAATTAGAAAGAATTTTGCACTTAGTCTTCTTTTTAATAAGAAATATGGTTTCATAAAAATTTGAGAATAACAGTGAACTAGAACAAAGACACAAAAAGTATCAGTATGTTTTGTTTGGGGACAGCTACTGAATAGTGGCTCAATAATTAAAGCAAATGCGGTTCAGAAAAAACCCCTTTTTCTTCATCAATTTGAAAGTGCAAAACTGTGCTAAGAAGACAGTATGCCAAAGGGTAAGTAAAAGTGCAAATGTGTGTAAACTGTAGCATAAATCCTGCTATACATATAGTATGTTTGGTGTCAGCCAGTGTAGTGCCCCAGATACACAGCTGGACTGGGACCTAGGAAACACGACTTTAAATCCCCACTCAGCCAGGGAAACTCAAAGGGAAAAGACAGCACTGATATTAAATATCAGTCACCATATAGAGTTGCCATCAGTTGGAATTTATTAACTCTCAATTATAATCCAGCAATGATGCTCCAAACAAAACATAGAAATATGGTTGAATGTGCAAAATTGCACTTCAAATGGTATTCCTAAACTACAGCTTTCCCTAAGAACCACGAGTTTCAGACATGGAATGTCTTTTCACCATGATGACATTAGCACTTCTACTGTAGGTGATTCAGTGCAGTACTAGAAATTATTGTACTATAATGGTAAAAAACACAGAAAGACACACAGTGATGGCACAACAATGGTGGGACACTACAAGTTCTCTAAGACAGAGGTCCCTAACACCCGGTCTGCAGCCCAATGCCGGCCCATGGCCTTGGTAGGATCGGGCCGCGGAGATAGAGCTCCTGCCCCCCCATGCACTTCCCACACACACGCCCACCCACATGCACAGCCAGCCCACCTGCACGCATAGGTGCCCCGTCCAACTGCGAGTGTACTCCACCTATCCGCACATGAGCAGGAGCGTGCCCCGGCCACCTGTGAGCATGCCCCACCCACCCATGCACGCACGAGTGCACCCTGCTCACCCATGAGCACAGGGGATGCCCCTCCATCGATCCCATCACCCCAACAGGTTCATGGTTCAGAAAAGGTTGGGGATCACTGCTGTAAGACATCCTCATCAGCAGAGTCTACTGCTGACTTCCAGCCTCAAGGGTGGATGTTGAGGAATTTGTTGTACTTGTCGACCTCCCTTCTGTTCTTCCTGGCAGTATTCAGTTTAAAGTCTTTCTGACGTTAAAGTCCTTCTTCTTCACATCACATTCTTCCAAATTCTTGCGTCCTGCACTTAGCATTCCTGCTCTGTTGCTGCTCCAGGGGTGTCTTCCAGTCAGGGATATTTGCAAGTCTTTGGATTCAAGTCCGAGTCTTCAGTCCCAAGTCCCAAGTTTGAGTCTAAGTCTTTGGTACCAACTCCCAAGTCCCAAGCTCCAAGTTTGAATCCCTATTAAAAATAAGCTTTTTACTCTAGAAGAAGGGTCTCCAAAGTATAGCCTGTGGGCCACATCTGGACTGCCTGGCCTTTTATCCGTCCTGTGGGTGGGATTGCAGGCATGCAGGAGTACATGTGTGCATATGGGTGAAAGTGGGGGCACGTTGGAGTGTGTGCGTGCGCATGCATACATGCGCATTCCTTTAGCCCTCAAAAATATCAAAAATACATTATGTGGCCCTCTGTGTGAAAAGTCTGGAGACCCTGCTCTAGAAAAAAGGGAGGCGATGGATAGGTTCTGAGTCACGATTCAGGTTTCAGTCTTAAGATTAAACCCTTCAGAAGCACAGCAACATCGAACGCGTACACACAGTGATAAAAGTAAATTTAAAAAGAGTTACAGTTGCATACACAAAAGGAGAAACATTTCTTATGGAGTTGCAATCAAAATGCAATGTAGTTATATCTTTACTACAGGTAAAGGGAACTATAAATTTAATCATACAAGAAATATCTAATTATTTATAATGAGTCCAAATGTTAGAATTATATTTATCACAAGGAACTCAGGGAACATGTTTAGCCTCGGAACCACACAGCCATTCAGAGATCACACTAAGCATGGCGAGTCCAAACCTTGAATTTCTGGATTCTGATTTGCCATTACCAACAATCATACAATAAATTTATCTGTGTTTCGACAAAATCTGTGAACTTAAAATCATGTTTGACAAATTATACTCAGGAAGCATATTATGAAGTGCATTTTGAGGGAAGTCTGGTTTCACATGATAGATATCTGAACTGACAAACAACATGGTTATTATTCCCTTCCAGCCATAACCAGACCATATATACCAAGGTGAACACAAAAACCTAAATGTTGAAAAGGTGGAGAATTAAAATAGACAAGCAGATCTAAAACTATTTTTGAGTTCTAATTACATCTTGATTCAGTTTACCTTCTTGTTTTTGTTGTAGGCACATACTCAGTTCTTGTATTGCGGCTTTATCCCTACGTGTGTATATTTTCATCTGATCAAATTCCTCTTCTAAATTAAATCTAGAAAAAAACACAACGAATTGAATACGTTACAGAGAGAATGCAAAAAAAATGTAATGCGACATACATTACAAAACAATTTCTGAATAAAAAACATGACAACAGGCCCTTAATTATCTGGCTACAATATGGCTGGCAGTAACAAACCTTCCTTCCTGTACCCCAGAGTTACCTTCCAGCACCCCCAAAATGCTGATGTGCAGGATATATACTGGTGTGAGGGACTGGTGGATGGCAGCATGAATACCATTCATGGCAGGCACCTCCAACTTTTCTCCCTCAGTCCCACACACAATATTATTACTTATCACTTATTAGATTCTCCTTAGTTTCTGTGTAGCATTTTCAAAGGAGTTTGAAGGGATGCTGTGAGGAAGATGGAACCGGGATGTCCACTTCTGCCAGTCCTTCTGCTGTTGTTATCATCATGTGCCACCAAGTTGCCTCTGACCCATGACAAAACTATGAACCAGTGATCACCAAAACATCCTATCCTTAATTGCTCTGCTCAGCTCTTATAAACTCAAGCCTGTGGCTTCCTCAAAGAAGTCAGCCCATCTCGTATTTGCTCTTCTTTTCCCACTGCTGTTCACCTTTCCCACCATTATTATCTTTTTCAGAAAATCCTACTTTCTCATAATGTACCCAAAGTACGACAGTCTCAATCTCAACATTTTTGCCCCTCCAGGGATACTTCAGGCTTGATTTGATCTAGGATCCACTTTTTCATCTTTCTGGCAGTCCAGAAAGTCTCTTCAAGAACTACATTTCAAGCAAATCATTTTTTTTCCTGTCAGCTTTCTTAACTGTTCAGCCTTTGCACCCCATACATGGTGATCAGAAATACAAGAGAGTGGAGATCTTTGTCTTGGTCTCAGTAACAAATCCTTACACTAGATGGTTTCTATCTAATTCCTTCACTGCTGCACTTCCTAGTGTCAGTCTTCCTCAGTTTCTTGTCTGCAGTGTCCATCGGGATTGAGGACTGAACCAAGGTATACAAAATCTCTAATTAATTCAATTTCTTCATTGTCAACTCCTACTCATTTCTAAACTTTAATCCAACCCTTTATTAATACTTAAGTATTTTACAGATGCTTATTGGTGTTTCCATAAGGTTGGCATAACTTGCTAACCAGGGACGTTGGCAAGTCTTTGGTACCAAAGCTCAAGTCTTTGGTACCAAAGCTTTGGTACTAAATCCTGAGTCCAAGTGCCCATTAAAAACAAGCTTCCCTTCCTCAAAAAAAGGGAGGGGTGAGTGGGTTCTGTGTTGGGGTGTGTATGAGGAGCTCTGAGGCTTGTGAACCACCCACTTTTGTTCCTCTCTGGTCTTCCACTGAAAACTTTTTAAAAAGTTTTTAAAATCGTTAAAAAGAATCTTGCTTCACTTATCTTTTAAACAACTCTATTTTCAGGCAGCAGAAAGAAGGAAACTGCCCTGCAGTAAGAGAGAGAGAGAGAGAGAGAGAGAGAGAGAGTGGGGGGAGGGAGTCTGCTTCTCAGGGATCAGGTGGGTGGAGTTGCTGCTAAACCTCTGCTGTCTGAGTTGTTTCTCCAAGTTTTTGCATCATTTTGCAGAAAGAAAGAGTCTGTGTGTCTTGCAGGAGAACAGCTCAAGAGGAAAAGAAGTCACACTCCTGTATATACTCTCTTGCAAAATGATGCAAAAACCTGCAGACACACTGACCAGGTCCTGGAGAAGCAGCCTCCCTCTCTCCCTCAATCTCTCTCTCTCTCTCTCTCTCTCTCTCTCACACACACACACACACACACACACACTGTGTGTGTGTGTGTGTGTGTGTGTGTGTGTGTGTGAGAGAGAGAGAGAGAGAGAGAGAGAGAGATTGAGGAGCTTGAACAAAGGAGAGGGAGTCATGTGTAAACTTGAAGCAGCTTCAGCAGTGCAATTTCCCTCTGCAGGATTCTAGCCAGAAAACCCAGCAGTTTAAAAGATAAGTAAAGCAAGATTTTTAAAAAACTAAAACAATAGGGACTCGACTCGGGGAAAAGGCTCCGAGTCATGAGTTGAGTCCAAGTCATTTAAATTAAAAACAACAATAAGTAAAGTGCAAGTTGAGTCTCTGGTGTGACTTAAATGAGACTGAACAGCAAGTCTGTTCAATCTCATTTAAGTCACACCAGACTGAAGTCCCCATCCCTGTTGCTAATTGACAAGGTGTCAAGGCACATCTTAGTCAAATTCCTGGTCAGGTGCTCAGTTGTACAACCAAGATAACACCTCATCCTTTAGCTACAATTATCCACAGCAGGTTATAAGAACACTTATAGGATTCTAGCCATTGACTTTAACACCTGGATGATGCAAGTGTTTCTCTTCTATCAGCGTATGTAATGATCATGAGAAAGTTTAGCTTTTACACTCTAAGTTAAAACACACACCTACCCTAGCTTTACATACCTTTCTATCTGACAATTTGGAAAACTGAAAATTGGACTTTTGGTACTTGCTTTGAAGAAGTGGAAATTACCTACAAAAGCTTGCCTATTGTATATATTTTTATTTTTTATTAGTGGCCTATAAACATATTTAATGTTACAGCAGCACACTTTCAAGACTGAATATTAACAGCAGTTATAATTTAATGCATGTATGTGCATTAAAACACCATCTTAATAGCATTTATGCAGACATTTTAATTCTATCTTTGAAATCTTATATATTTAAAAGAAGATGTATCTTTTACATGAAAGTAAGAAATAATCAGTATCAAGCCTCTTTATTGTACTTTTTCAGCTAGGCACAAGATGTTTCCTCAACTTGAACAAACTGTCTTTTTCCAGTAAAATCATCTATTTTACAAATAATTTTACAAATTTAAATAGTTTACGTTATTGGTTAATCCAAAAAGTTTGAGATGCACATGGTTTTCCCCGCAAACTATATATTTTTGGTAAAATCATGTTCCACACAAAAGTCCAAAGACTTGCAATTTAAACCCTTTGTTTCACACCAAATTTGGCATAAATGTAAAAATGGTCACTGATTCTAGGAATATGCAGCTGTTCCAAACCATCATCAGTATTTGTTTTATATTTCTTTTTCAATGAGAAAAAAACAGTACTTTACACACACAAAAATTTCTTTTTCTTCATGACTGATCTGTCACTCTGCCACTGGAGATTTCCAGGAGACCTAGAGTACATAAACAATCCTTAGATTTCCCTATTATCCTAAAAACTATGTTTGCCATTAATTCTGTATGAACATCTACATTCTGTTTTAATCTGGGGAAAAGAAATATATCAATATCAACCACTAAATGGGCAGGGTATAAATCTAAATAAATAGTTTTTTTTTTTTAAAGGATGTTTAAATTCCTTTAGAACTCTTCATCAGGCTAGCACAGCAAAACTTGAAACTGGAAGGGATGGGAGAAAGCGACACAAAAGTTCTCAATTCCTTCTGGTCAGATGTTATATCTATAGGACAGACCTGGGCAAAGTGCAGCCCGAGGGCCACATACGGCCCGCGAGCCACTCCTGTACGGCCTGCGGACAGTTTTGAACATCAAAACCATTTATAGCTTTTTGTCTAAAGTTGATCAGTTGCTTATCTTTAATATATCACAAAAAAACCTCTTTAGTATTTGTGAAGATTAACAAGTTTAAAATAAAAAGAATCATAACATCACTATTTCATTTTACCGTATTTTTTTGCTCCATAAGATGCACTTTCCCCCCCCAAATAGAGGGGGGAAGTACATGCGTCTTATGGAGCGAATACAGTAAAAAAAGGGCTCAGCCACCACCACCCAGAAGCCTCCTACCGTCATGCTGGGAGGCCTCTGAACTAGCACCAGAGGGTGCTTGCTGTGGCAGCCACAGTGGACCCCACCACTCTTCCATCTGCACTGCTGGCTTTCCAGTATCTGCCTCCTGGAAAACCAACAGGGCCAGCAGGCCTATAGCAGCAAATTTAAATGGCAGAGGGCAGTGAAAATAGCCAAGGACCAAAGGGGAAAGAGTGAGTCTAGAAAGACCAGGGGAAAACACAAATGCAGTCCCCCCTACCACAAATTAGGCAGTTGATTTTCCCACATTTGGGGAAATCACAGGGATCAACATATCCAAAGTGCAATGGATAAGCCTTACCCTGGGAAAACCACTTTTATGATCATGGTATCTCCCCTGCCAGATATGAGTTGGAGTGGCCCATGCACCTCCTGCCCCTTTCTGTGCCCTGCCTTCCAAAGGCATGGTGACCCTCGGCTGCACCTCCTGCTCAGAACAGGGCTGCACAGCCCCAGGCCCTCAAGAGGCCAGGAGAGCTCTTCAGTGTTTTGGGGTGCCCCGCAGGACCCCCATCAGGGGCTGGGTATTCCTCCCATAATCCTCCAGGGCACAGGTATTAGCATATCTGCGTGCTTGCATCACCCAGTTGGCTTCTCTATTGGAGAAGCAAAGCAGGAAGATTCTCTTTCCCTTCACCTTCTGCGGAGAAGTTAGACAATGTGACGAGCCAGATGTGTGGAGAAGCAGAGAGAGAGAGAGAGAGAGAGGAACAAAAGCTTCTAAAACAAATTGCCAGTAAGTTTAATAGGCCTGAGAATGGCGAGGGGAAGAGAGCCTGCTGGATGGGGGAAAGGTGGCTAGAATAACTGTCTGTAGTTCAGAGCTTGGCAGGAAGCTGCATCACTTCCTCATAAATTAAGCCTAAATAGAAGTAATTTTGCAGATATTTAAAACATTAAGGGACCTGAGGGGGAGGCTAATGTGTATTGTTAGCCAAATTTCATTCTGAGGCACAGAATGATTAAAAAGGCACTGAGCACATGCAGAATAAAGTTCAAAAGAGAAACCAGCGACCTAACACTCCTTTCCTTAATATATTACCACTAGGGCTACAGGTTTTATTTGGTGTATTAGCTTACCACAGTTTTTATGGACTCATCAGGAGCA